AATGACTGTGTCATTGAGTGGCTTGCTTCCCGGCGGCTGTAAAAAGCCCGCGATCAGAAGGCGACGCTGTGCGACGTGTTTGATTTGGGGGGCGTTCGCTACGGAACTGCCGACGACCGCGCCATACTGATCATTCCCCTTGGTGTTCCCAATGAACTCGTATACAAAAAGTGCGAAGAGGGCTGGCGATGTTTCTCTCGCGCAGTCGATATGGGCAGGGTGGGAGCCATTGTCAATGCCCACGTGTTCATCGGTCCCAGGGGCGACGAGGGGGGAAAAGCCCAAACCAGGGGGGGTGCGAAGTCGAAGTCGGACGGGGTATACACGTTCGAGGACACCGATGCGATCCCGTCTCCACGCGCGTTATTCCGTGGCAGCCGAGCTGTTCGATGACGGGCATTCAGAACCCATGAGGGACGAAGCAATGGGACTTGACGAATATCGTACGCGTTGCAGTGAGGCTCTATTTCGCGTCAGCTCTACAGTCGCATCGAAAGGGCCTGCGTCGTTACGTTCCTCCGTCGACGCAACAAGATTTTTTTCGATGTGGATTTCTGGGCAATCATCGACCCCGACCCCCTCGAGGCGGAAGAGGACGGATCGTGGGGGACGCAGCGGGCCCGACAGCGCAATGCGCAGGGCGCGTGCACGATTGCGCAGCTCGCGCCAGCAGGCGCAGATAGCAAACATCAGGAGTGACAGGACTCGAATGATCTAGCACCTCAATGACTACGTTACGGTAGAATTGCGTAACGCCATTGGAAGGCGTGGGATCAGGCTCTGGGCACTGAAGATGGAGACAGAGTCTTTCCACCCCCCGTGAGCGAGGTATCCTGGCTCGGAGGATCCTGGTCATTGCAAGCGACTTGCGGATATCGAAATAATTCGCCCGTCTTGTATGACGAAGGGCTTCATGCTGACCCGAGACGGGTCCGGTGATCGCAGGAAGGCTTGATCGATTATAGGAACGCTGACGGGGCGCTGCGTAAATCTTGGGAAGAACCTGCCATGGCCCCCCTGTCTCTGATGACGACGGCGACAAGGAGAGCGAACGGGAGGGCGACGGGGATAATGTCCCCGTTGGACCCCAGTGAGAAAAGCTGGGTGAACGGCGATGGCGTGAACAGGACTTGCTGCGATAACATTTTCGTGATGAGCAAGTATATTCTGCTGCTATGAGGCATCGCCGTAAGGGGGGCTGGCGGCAATGGAGGGGACTCCTGGGGCGCGCTTGGTATGGTCGGCTTCGAGCCCAGCTATTTTGCGAACGCCGAATATCTTGTCTACGCCATGATGTAAGGGGCCCTAGGACGAACGCTCCGAATTTCCGACCAATGCCCCTGCAAGAAATGGCCATTTGCATGGTTGCAGAGTGCGAGTTGTGGTCCAGGCAAGGAGAAGGTGGCTTCGGCATTCATGTCGCACGCAGTCCAACTCTACACTTGCCCGACTTTGAGTTGCTTCTGTGTCGCGCTGTCGATTGCGAAAGATGCGCGGCCATGTTATGTCGCCGGCGGTGGTGTTCGAGAGGTGCGGCAAGGCAACTGCAGTCCGTATTGACATGCGCGCGCCTCATCAGAGAGCTTTTTCGCACTGGGCAAATGCTGCGTCATTGTAGCGTAACGCAAGCATAACGGCTGAATGACGCAAGGTTTGTGAGATGCGGCGTGCCGCGAGGACACTTCCCCCGCATCAGCCGGCCAGGGGGCGAGTGAAAAGGCAAGTCCCGTCTCGCGATGATGGCGAAGACTCCTTCGCAGACGGCGCGTCCGAGGGGTCGGGTGATGATGTTTTCGCGACGCCAGGGCGGGGTGGAATGGCCCCCGGGCCAGTCATCAAAAAGCGAGGAGTAATCGCTTAGATCCCCGCCCTAGCACATGGCTTCGATCCCGACGCAGTTTGAGAGGGGGAGATGAAGGTCAGATGAAGACCCCCGACGGAGGCGACGACGGGGCGCCGTAAAAAGGACGAGGCAAGGCGCTCCGCGCACATGCTGCAGGGGCGAGTGCTTCCCCGCAGGAGTTGGAACCTGATGGGGGGAAGCCCGAGGGCGAGCAGGGCGGAAGCCTGCGTCGGTCAGTAAATGATGCGGACATGCAACAAGAACAGAGAGAGGAAACGCATCAGCCCGGCGACGGCGTCATCGCGGCGCATGTGGATCGCTCGCCACGGCCCTCGCTGGGCGAACCCTTGGACTGTGCCCCGCTGGGCCCGATCCCACTCGCAGTGAAGAACAAGGATCTACCTAAGGTGTTGTGCAAATAATGCCTTCGTTTGGCCGCGCCGCCGAGCCCGCCGGAGGGTGGGCTGATATCGAAGACCCTGCTTCGTGCCAAATTGTTTGAGAAGGAAGCCATTTTCTACAAAGAACTACTACAGCGCGCTGAGTATACCTGGGAGACCGAGACGCCTTTGATTTCTCCGCTGGATGCCGAAGGAGCGGGCTTCCTGGTGGCAGAGTCTAGCTTCGCGAGGGAAATTGAGGCAGCGCATTCTGCTGGCCCGTTCCCTGACATTCCACGGAGGATGCCGTGCCCGGAGGGGGTGCAGAGGCTGGCTTCTCCGGGAACGCAGTGTTGGAGTTGCTGGAGGGCCTGGGCGCGGAACAACGAGTGGGTGCAGACGCGTTCCTCCGATCGCGCCATGCCTCGATTGAGACTCCAGATCCCCCGACGAGCCTACGCTCGATGTTGCCCGTTATCCCGTCGTCAGACCGCCGGCAGTGTATTTTTCTCAGCGGAACGAGCGAGGGAGAGGCTGCTCGGCTGGGGTCCTCGATTCTGGAAATGGCAAAACATTGTGCTGCCGATGTTCTCAGCTCTGGTTGATGGGTCGATATGACGCGAGTTGTTGATGTGTTGATGGAAGGAGGTTTTGATCGCCCGTCGTCCAGGTTGACGCACGCCCGCAGTACTCTGCCGAAGAAGTGAATCCAGGTGCCGCATGTCAAGTTAGTGGAGAATGACGAGGCAGCCGTGCGATGACCGAAATACTGGAGAGAACGCTGCGGGCGGGCGCTGCTTCGCGACAGAGGCGCAATTTATGGGCAGATTTCGGGCTTCCTAATTGCGTGCTCAGCGAGGTTGGTACAACCAGAGCGCATGTATACTCGCCGTCGACCAATTGGCAGAGAGATACCACCGGCGATTATATTTTCTCTCACCGTGTCGAGCGTCTTGCAATCGATGACTGACAAGACGGTTCCGCCAGAGACTGAGATTGATGGTGCGCGGTGGTGCAGATGCATGCCTGCGACCCCCGTCAAACATAACGACTTCGCGCGACCAGACGACTTGGCCGTAGAGAGCGGAGGACAACGCGCACGGCGGAATCGCTTTGGGGCAGCGAGATATAGCTGGGGAGTGCAGTGACCGACCAGGACAGTTCCCGCGTTGGTTTCGCCCGAACGGATTGCCATGAGCGCTCTCAGCCGATAATTTGGATGCGCCACTATTCGACGTAGACACCCCAGAGAAGCTGTTTGACCAGAACATGGCGATCGTCGCCCCGCGCAGTTTTGACACTGCAAAGTTCTGGGTCATGCCAGACGGCTCCCTGGCGACTCAGTTCCGTCCACGATGGGATGAGATTCGCCAGATTTGGCGGATTGCCGTGTCAGATGCACCCGTCCCGGCAGTATCGTGGACGGTGGTGTTCGACCGGCGTTTCGGTGGGATCTGGCCATTCCATTGCAGGATTCTGGTTGCCTTGATTACGGTAAGCACAGGGTAACTTTCTCGTCATCTTTGGGGACCTGGACGACCAGCCTGCTTCGAGCAACTACAAGCGCAAGATGACTTCACCCCCGCCCTGGGAGGCCGGATTCCTTGTGTGCTCGAAGGCTTGCCGCAAGCACCTGGCCGTGATCAGCTGCTTGCATTGCTCGCAGTTCATAGTGTTCGAGCCAAGGCTTTTGACGCCGATTTCCATTCGCCCTGCAGCTCCGTGGGAGACGCTGGGTCTCGGGAAGTTCTCGGGCATGGAAATCGATCCTTGCGCCCGGAATTGTGTTCCTGCATCGATTGCGAGGCCCCAGACGTATACGGAAGGCCGTGCCCTTGACGCGAACATGTTTCAGTCTGAAGAAAATGGAGAGATTTAAAGATGGTAACATATCGATAGAAAGTGGCTCTCCAAGGCAAGATTGCCTTCGCGCTTCAGTGCGTGACTGTGCTTGCGTGGCGGCCTACATCGGAAGTGGACACTTCGCTGTCTCAAAACAATGCATGGCTCCAGAACAAGGCCCGTTTGCTGGGTCTTCGTTGGGTCAGTTTACAACAGCGCATGGGAACGCCAGCAGTCCGACTGGCGGCCGTCGTCCCTGTTGAAGTTCGGTGGCCGTTTGTGAGTCACCACGTGCTGGCCGATGGCTAGTATTTCGGATGTTTCGAGCTTCGTGTGGGGCAACCTCCGAATTTCCGGTAGAGAGGCGCTCGAACCGTCGACCGGATGGGGCGCCTGGCGGCGTGGACAGGGTCGAGGGTACTATCTCCCTGCACCCGAGCATCTGAAATATTTCGTGTGTGCTCATTAATTTCAAAGACAAGCGGGGGCCACTAGAGGCAATCGGTCAAGAAGACGAAGGTGAAGAAGGTGCAGGAGACGACCGCCCCTGCGATTCTGCCGCGCGCGCTGCGCCCCCCTCCCACGAAGACAAACGCAGCGGGCAATCTCCGCCGCCGAGGCAGAGGTACAAGTACATGAAAGCGAGGACCGTCGAACGTAGTGGTGACATCGCGTGCTCAGATGCGCGGCAGCAGCTCTGACCCGCCCGGTCAGGCCTCTACCGTGCGCCTTCGGGCGGGGGGGCCTGCGACGCGCGGGCTGAAGCAGAGCGTGCCACTGCGAGCGTTCCGGCAGAGTGGCCCTCCCACGATTAGCGGATCTCCGGAGAGAGAGTGGCGCGCCTCGCCCGGCGCGCCCCCGTGGGAAAGGGTGGGGCCGCGGCCGACGAGGAACATGCCATCTGACATAGATCGGACTGGCAACGTCGTCCCGAGGCTAACGCCCGCGCCGCCCACGCCGGTGGCGCTGGCTGACGAGGTGGCCGCGACAGAGACCTCTGCGCCGCTGCATCGCGACCGCGGCCAGTGGTGGCAGGACGAAGGAAGCGGCGCCTTCGCCAGCGTCTGGCGTGGTGACACAGCTGATCGCTCGACATCCTGGTCGTCCTCTTCGAGCTGGGCTGGGTGGCAGGCTCCGCGCGGCGATCGGGTCTGGGATGCTGGTCGCGATGGCCGCTGCGGCGATCAGCGGTGGAAGAGCATTCGCTCAGGCGGCGGGCATGGGTGTTGGGCTGAGACGGCGTCGCAGTCTGACCCGGTTGCCGCAGAGCGCGCAGATGAACCGCGGGCGCGCCGAGGCCGTCGACGGGCTGGTATCCATTTGAGTTGATGGCTGGGCGGCGCGCGCCTCTTATGCCATTTTGGGGCGGGGCGTGCCGGGGGGCCCGCGACTTGTCCTGCAGAGCGGTGACAGGAGTGTTCCCTTCCCTGCCACCCGCGCCGTAATTTGGGTTGGGAATGGCGCGGCGGGGGGCCCAAAGTGGCCTTGGGGGAAGGGGGCTGCCCAGCGCTCTCGGGACTTGCTGAGGCTGTTCGGCATGTCCCGCCTCTTTTGCTTGGGATGTTAGCTCGCGTGCTGACGCCCGCCCTGGCGCGGCGATGTCGCGCCAGGTGGCCGCGGGGGGAGTCACTGCTAACGATCCCTTCGCCCACACATGCTGCCCTCCACTCTCTGCAGAGTGTTGGTAGGGCGTGGATCGCGCGGAGGGACTATCTAAGCGCCGCCAGCCGGCCAAGCGGGCGGTGACGGATTTACCCAGCCTTGTATTCGCCAGTTCGTAGTGGGAGTCTAGCTTCTCGTGAGCTACAAGAAGGCGACATATATCAACAAGCAGTACAACGTATTAAGTAATATTACGGCGCATTTGCCTTACATGACGTTATCATGACGTTATTTCGGCAAAACACTGCCCCTCTTGGGGCCCTCTCGGGCCCTCATGGAGCCATCTTGAGGCCTCGAAAGGCAATCAGAAACGAAAAGGCGAGAAAACAACAACATGACTTCCAAAGGTTTTGGTCGACTTTTGGCCTCCCAGGGCCTCCTTGGGGAGCTCTCTGGCTACTTGGAGCCGTCTTGGAACAGTGTTGGGGCTTCGTGGAACACCTTGGGGGCCATCTTGAGACGACATCTTGGGATATTTTGAGCCATCTTGGAGATCACAAACCTTAGGCTTTCCGAGGCGCCCTTGGAGCAATCTTGGGTCATCTGAGACGCACCAGCCCCGTGCGGGGGACCCCGTCCAGGTCCAGGGGAGGGGCAGAGGGGAGGGGTCAGGACACCCTCCAGACAGCAAGCCGGCTAGCTCAATCCCACCCGCCCTCCCGACACATGAGTATCACCCGAACCTGAGTTTGTTCACCGGTCGTCTTTGGATAGGCAGCTACTGGGGACCGAAAGCGAGCCCATGTGCGCGACGCTTGGGCGAGGTGCGCCACGCGTGCCAGGCGCGACACGCGCGCCAGGCACCCGTGTGGCCCGAGCGTGTCAGGCACGCTTGGTGCGCCGGATGCGCCACGTGCCTCCGCGTGCGCCAGGTGCGCCGCGCACGCCAGCCGCGCCAGGTGCGCCACGTTTGGGGCACGTGCAGAGTGCGTCAGGTGGGCCTCCGCACGTGACAGCGCACATCGGGAAACATGCCAACTACACCATTCTTGTCGAAAGCCAATGCCCATCATTGTGTGTGGTGGGCCTGCACACAGCAGGCCATGCGCCACCACCCTCGCCGTCCCTGACAAAAACCACTTGCCAATGATCCGGGGGTGGCCGCGCACTATCCAGATGTAGCCGTGAGGTGCGCTTTGTATTTTGTTTTGTCACGGATCGTAGCCCTGCGCGCAGCAGGCAGTTTGCTGGCACCCCCGCCGTCCTTGTCAGAACACAATACAGAGTACCCGCGGGCTTCACGAGCATGATTCCAAACTTTGCCCCGAAGTGTACTTTGTGTAGTTTTTGTTGACATGGATGGTGGGGGGGTCCGCATCGGGTTGGTTGCGCATGCCCCGAAGCTGTAAACAGAGTGCGTTTTGTATTGTTTTTCACAGGGATGGTGGGGGGGGCCCTCATGGTTCCTGGTTGGCCGCCGGTCGCCTAGTGATAAACCCCTCCCCGAAGGGGAAGAGGGGCAGATGGAAGACAAAACACCCTAGACCACCTAAAAGGTCTGGTGGGATAGGTGCGCCACTCCACCTGCTCTCCTCGTCTATTTGTCCCACCTTGTTGCCCTCCTCCAGGAGCTGGGATGTGTCGCCATGCCGATCCTGCGCTGCCTCCGCCAGGCCTCGAGCGCACTCCCGCCATCGGAGCGTCGCTTGCATCGACGGCGGCTCCGAGGACTCCTGGTTCCACGGCTAGGCTAAACACGTCCCGAGCCGAGTTGCAATTTCGCCTTGGACTGCTTCGATCGATGTGCCTTCCCACCCACTCATCGTTCTTTCGCCTTCTTTCTCGTGGCTGGTCTCCGATCCGACTAGATGCTCTCGGACCGACCGATGCTGATTAGAGCTCCCGCTCGGCACCCGGGTGGCGGCCAGCGAGGCGAACCCTCTCTCTCTCTCTTTTTGTTGTTTCTCTCTCTCTCTCTCTTTTTCTCTCGATGTATATATATATAATGTTATGGATGTATATATATATATATATATATATATAGATGTCGTCTCACGTTCGTCATTCGTTGCAATATGTTAGTGGAACCATGGGCTCACTGTCCCACGTCAAGAGCTCTGACCACCTATTACTTTCAGTACTTCAGAGACATATCATCGAAGACGTGTTCAGCAAGCTCACAGATAACGAAGCTCCTTTTCCCCGCTTCAGTGTGCTCCCCACTGCCCGGGACCTGCTCAGGCCCCTGGGGCATGCGCGATTCCCCAATCTGAATGCGTGCTGGCCAGGCTGGCTGGGCTGGCTTGGTTGGTTTGGCTGGGCTGGCTTAGTTAACCTGGCCTGGCCGACTGATGGTCACCACCTACCAAACCACCCCAACCCAACCCGAAGGCCTCAATTTGCCCTCCATTTCGAGTGTGGGGGGGTCGGAACCCGTACCCCCCCCAACCCGAAATTCGGTTCAAATTCAGGTCTTCGGGTTGGGTTGGGGTGGTCTGGTAGGTAGTCAGATGGCTGGGGAGGCTTGGATGGCTGGCTGGCTGAAGGGCGCGACTCTGGGGGTGAGCTGCTGGGCGGGACGCCCAGAAACCCAGAGGGGTTGCCGTTGGACTCGACTTCCAAGTTAGTCCTGGCAACTCGAAGGGTTTCAGTTTCTCGGTTCGGAGTCGCGTCTGGGAGTGGAGTTCTGTGAATACGACGGCCCGTGAAATCGATATGACTGCAACCTGTGATTCAAAAACGTACCTTGGAGTGAGGTCACGAAGGCTACAAGGAGCGTGATGGCTGCATTGCGTCATCCAGGATTGTAGTTACCAGGGAGTTGAGTGCTAGCAGCACGAAGGTCGCAAGAAATGGTGCTATGCGGGCCGAGCTTCCGTACAATGGCCGAAAATCCGTCCAAGCGGCGCTCTCGCCTCGGCGCGGGCAGCACACCGCGAGCGTCGCCTGCACGCCGCGGCCAGTTTAAGAGCGAATTGTGGGGATCCACCAACGTTGGATCCGTGAGTCGTACTCACACGAAGGCCACAGGCAGCGATAAACGTCAAAGTGGTGCCCAGGGGCGGTGTTCTGGCAGCATGAAGGTTGCAGGCCCCGAGAGGGGACGGGAATGTAGTTCTGGCAGCACGAAGGTCGCATGAAGCGAGGGGTGTACATCGTGGGACTCAGATCCGTATGCGGGAGTAGGTTTCTGGAAACACGACGGCCACTGGGATGAGGTTGCAACCTGTGTTTCAAACTCGTACCTTTTACTGGAGTCAAGTTTCGGCAATGCCAATATTTGCGGCCGCGATAGGGTCGCAGCTCGTGGATCAGAGCCGCAAGCTGGGGAAAGAGGCACGGCCACGCTGGAACCTCAGGGAGAAACACCCGTCCAGCCAGGGTGCTCATTGAAGGAGGCAGCCTGGCAGCAGACAGCGACAGTGAAAACCTTCTGGGCAGGCTCAGTCGAGAAAGCAGAGCAGAAGCCACGGCGGGCCCTTCTGTAGGCATTCAGCCCGCAACTCTCGCGACCATGGAGGATGAGGAGACCCACGCATCCATGCCCCCCCCTGCCCTCCCTGTCTCCTGTCCCGCTCTCCATCGCTGCTTGCTCCCTCCTTCCTTCGTCCTCCTTCTCCTGCGCACCTCACGGCAGTTCCTTGGATTATCTATGCCTCGCCCGAGGAACTGCTCAATGGCGGCCCGCTCGCAGACCTCACAGTTTGGTTCGTGATTCTCCCTTCTCGCTCTCCTTCGCTGCCTGCCCCCTCCCTCCCTCACTCGTCCTCGTCCTCCTCTATCCCTTCTCCTGATAGATAACTCCTCCCTGTCGCACTCCGAGGCAGTCGAAAGGGCTGGCCAGGCGTTTCGCTTGAGATTTCCTCACCATTGATGATCTTGAAACTTAGAATTTGCAAGAGCTTTACGGATTGAGGGCGGCCCGTTTGCTCGCCTTGTCCCGCGCACATTCTTCTTGAAAGTTTGCAAGAGTTTCACGAATGGAGGGCGTTTCCTTGTCAAATGTCGTTCTTGCTTGAGCGTTGCGCACATTTGTCGTGATTGCTTGCCGCAGTTTCAAGGGTTCTCATGGTTAACGGCATGATGTCGGAATGTTAGGGCGCTACAGGCATGCTGATTGGTGTTCTGGCACGACTCAGGATCGTCAAGACGCAACAGTAAAGGCGATTCGCGGCGCTGTTGTCCGAACACGGGCGTTCTGGCGCAATTCTGGATTTTCAAAGAGCAGCTTTCCAACGGGGCCTTTCCCCCAGTGAAAATGAATCCGTGTGGGGGTCTATGAGAGGGAATTCGGAGGGAGGCCCTTTTGCAGTATCTTTACGAGTCTTGGGTTTGCACTGGTCCTCCTCCTCCTCCTCCTCCTCCTCCTCCTCCTCCTCCTCCTCCTGTGCACCTCTTTGAGCCTGTCCGTTCCCCTTCTCAAGCCGCTCTACTGCTTGCCCCTGCCGCCCCGGCCCCCGGCCATCGTCGTGGCGGCCCTGCGGTTGAGGCCCACGCGGAGAGCGCCCACGCCCTCCTGGTGGCGCTCATGCCCATCGTCGAGGCGGGCCCGGCAGTCGTGCTCCCAGGGCTCGGGCCGAGCGAAAGAGAGGGATTGGGAAAGGGGGGGTTACGAAATCTGCTGCGTGCAGCTGGTCTCGGCCCCACCGAGGGGCCTTATTCCTCGATACATGGTCGCCTCTCGGCGTGGGGAGGCGCCGGGAAAA